CGGTTGCATAAGCCCGCTTTAATGCTTTTTTAAAAGCAGAAGGGCGGGCTAAAAATCACAACGGGAGAATCAGCGGCCCGACGAGTCAGAGGGCCTACGCAATAACTTCGTTGCGAAGGCTATGCGTCCTACGTGAAACCAGTGCAGTGCACTTAAACACTTCTCGCGAACAGCTGTGTCCCGACAATGGCAATGACTGAGGCAACTTAGCGCATTTCTGCAGATGAATTTCCAATTGATTGCTGCTAGTCTTCGATCAATAAGTAAAGTTCTATCCATCTATTCATGAATTGTAGTATGTTTACTAAAATATTTCAATGGAAAGTTTCCGAGTTGATATAATTACCCAGCGACAGCTCAAACTCGTCGCATCTTAAAGCGAATAGCACAGGCCAGTGCACAATGCCCGCATTATGGGGGGCATGTTAGCGATAATTTGTGATTTGAAGACGCTTAGACAGAAATTTTATGGTTTTGTCGGCCGGACGAGGGAGAAGGAGGCAATAGAGTATTGGTCTAGAGCGTTGAGCGGAAGTAGAAGAACAAAAACGGAAGGTGGAAATAAGGTGCCCGTGCCGTCCCCCTCTCCTCCACTGGGCGGAGTGGGGGAGCGCCCGGGGAGAAGAGGAGGCGGCAGGCGGGGAGGAGTGCGGGCGCCTTTCCACCTTCCGTTATTGTTCTTCTACTTCCGCTCAGCGCTCTAGACCATCACCCTATAGTGGTGAGGGACCGACGCCTGCCGGGCCACGCGAGGGCTCAATCAATTACCTACTTGCTCTAGTCACTTTGACTCTATCACGACCGTAATGGCAAAAGTTCAAGGTACCTTTGGAGTTGCACCTCCCACCACCCTTCCCGCCATGGAAGCATTGTACAGGGATTTCCCTCTTGTGAAAAACGCCTCTAAATATCTCAGAGTAAGAATTGATACCAAGATGTTCAAGCCTTTCATTTCCTTGGTCAAACAACCCTATAAAGAATGCATTAATTTTACTCAGTCAGAGTTTTAAACATTTGACTTCAGACGAGATCAATAACTTTGTTCACTTTAGCGCACAAGTTAACATGGAGCCAATCAAAGTGGGAACTCTGAGTGTGTCGCTGAAAGTCATTGGCAACTGTACAGTCATATGTATCGAGAAAGATAACTGCAGGGTTTATCTCGCAGAGTCAACGTGGAAGTTTGTCCATAGAATTAAAGAAATTCTGTTCAACTATCTATCATAGTGTGAGGCAGTGTGTGTTGTAGCAAGTTCAAACTTTACCGATCTGATGGTCCGTACCAAATATTTCTGTCTACCGAGATGGGGCGGAAACTCTGCCAAAATACCAGACCTCAATGAAGAAGAATGGTTCGATTTGCTTTCAAAAGCATTTGACGTAACATCTATTCCATTCCCAGAGTCTCTCAAACAAGAAATGCTGTGTTACCAAACGGATTATCTCAAAGAGACACTCATATCTATGATTAAATAATAAAAACAATGTGCAAATAAAATCAATGTGAAAATCAAATAAAAACAAATAAAAGCTTTAAAACCAACAAAAATTAATAATGAATGTGTTTTGACCAAAACCAATCACGTTTCTTTTGAATTACAATATGAATAGTACTTCTGAGTTGTTGTTTCCAAAATCCAAACTTGATCCGCAATTAGAACAGAAAAATCTTTGACCACATAGAGTGGTCGAGGTAAACAGACTACATACCTAAAAACAAGAATAAACAAGTTGAAATCCAATGCAAATGGTTTTTCTTTATCATCTCCAAGTCCATGCACTACTTTTGGCATAATAAAATTAAGCTCATGTGAATAAAATATCACTTAAGCCATTATCAGAAATTGAGCGCTATCCAGTCTCGGAAAAGTTTGACAATCACATATAATCACATAACCTAACCTATCGCTTCATGTAGTGACACCTTAAAATAACTGGGATGAATTTAAATCCAAGCAAATAGTGGTTTAGAATGTTATCATAATAACATAATCATTTTAACCAATCTATCAGAATTCCGGTAAATCACTATAAAAGTCAACTTTTTAGGCTAAAACTCACATAAAATGTTATTTCCATTCCTTATCCAAGTGTATGAGTTGGTTTTAAGACCATGATAATGAATCCAAGAGCAAATGAAATACCAAATACATAGGATGACCCCGAATGGAAACGTAAACAAAAATGGACGGTAAACAGGCACACTTATGACCATAAAAGGTAGTTAATGAGGTTAAAACCCCCATCAAATTATATTTCTATACAAAGTCCAAGTGTAGCGGCTACTTTTAAGACCATAATATTGAATTCAAATGCTAAAACAAAGAAATGAGAAAGAAAAGAGTGAATCATTATCAACAAGAAGCTCACCATAACCCCTTATGTATTTCACTTAAAAACTCAACATTTTGGTGGATTTTGGTGGCTCTTCTGCAGGTGGTCATTCCCT